ATATATATATATATATATATATATATATATATATATATACAGTATATACACACTTTTAACAAAATTGTTCAAATAAAAATAACACTAATTATACTTCTTATTTTAGAATTCTTATATTATAATTTAGTTTTACTCTAAATCTTGGTCGCATAATTAATTTACAAACTGTTTTCCTAAGTTGTAAATACATTATTGGAGTATTTCTTAAGTCTTTCTACTTAAAACCTGAAACTAAAAGTGTTTTATTCAATGTGTCATTTGCCATTTCCTTATTTGTGAAATGTGTAATTTCTGAGTGAAAATAGTTTATATATGTATAAGTGTATTTAAATAAATCAGATTAATTAATTGGTCTGGTCTATCACTATTTGAAACAACAAAAACAGTTTCAGAGTCTCTTGAAATTGTCAACAATCCCAAAACCTCTTAAATATTCTGTCTAAATAGACTGAATTCAGAGACATAGTCTGCCATCTACTCTGGTAACTGTTAATTCAACATCCATTTATGTTTCTTATTACTTAAGTCAGCATTTCTCCTGTCTGACCTGCAAAGCCAACATTAGCAGCTAGACTATCAAAGTGAACTACCATGACCCATGACCTAGCCCTGCCATTTTGCAAATGCTTTATTTATGCTTAAAGTTGCTTGCTACATCCATTTTTCCACCCTTCCCATTGGGCAATATGATTATATTCATTCTGTTTAACATACCACTTCCTCTTGCAGTGTTTTTCTAAAGGGCAGGCGGAGAGTTTCTCCTATTTTAACCTAATATTTAAGGCAACAAAAGTGGAAGGTGCCACTGGCAGAGTGCCCAATAACAGGTCAACACTTCCAGACTCTGCAGCTTCAGTCCTTTTTCTCTCAGGCACTAAAGTGTGCCCTCAACCCCCTTGCTTAAACACACCCACCCTTTCACTTGTTCTACACCAGATACATTTACACAAACACGTTTTACAACCATTCCATTCTGGTTCGTCAGTCTGAGTGAGACAGTGGAATCTGAATCTCACATAGAAGTTGTATCCCAAAATAAATACTATACACTATGCAATATCCCAAGTAACAAATTCAGGTTATAAAAACATTGTGGGTATATTGTTTTGAAACGTTTCTAAAATGTCGAAAGGTCCGGTTTTCTTGTCTTGATTTTAACTTTGATTAAAGGTTACAGAAACGTTTCGCTCAACGTTTTACTAACTTTATTTTCACCCACAATATGACATTACTTGAATGTTTATTTTTAATATTCTAAGAGCCTTAAAACGTCCAGATGAATGAAAATGTCTAAGAATGTTAAAATGTATTTTCTTGTCATGTTAGAACGTCATTTAAAAGCTACAAAAATGTTCCTTAGAATGCTCATTAAGTCCAAATAATATCATAAGGATGTTCAGAGAGCGTTGATTTCTGAGCGTTTTCTCTCAACGTTATGAGAAAGTATATCAAATATTGATAAGGTTATAAGAATGTTCCATAAACATTTGGCCTACTTTTAAGAATGTTTTCTCCTAACATTTATCAATTTTCAAAAAGGTCAGTGAAAGTTGTCAGAACGTTCTCTGTTATCTGGGATGTACCTTTCTGTCAAAAGCATGTATTTTAGCTTATTTTCAGTTAATTAAGTGCATCATCTGGGTATTTGACGTGCGCCTTTTCTTTTTGGAATTTTCAGAGTGAACACACTACTCACACCTTGTCTACACCGGATGCGTCGCGTCAATTCACGCTGCACCACGCCGCAATAGATTGAGGCTGTCTACACTGGACGCGACATAGCGACCACTGAAATCATTTGAACTTTTTGTCAGTACATCATAAATAGAACGAGGCAACATTTTACTGTCGGGATTTGTCGTGTCACGTCGTGCCACATCCAGTGTAGACAGCATCGCTGATTATAATGCGTTCTATAGTATTTTGTCACGTCGCACCACTCACGTCCAGTGTAGACACGGTGTCACACTATTTTAGAATAGTGCATGAGTATGCACACTGGGATGCACCTAGTAAGTTTTGGTTAATGTTTAGATATCAATAATCAGCTACCAGTGCCTTTAAACTTTATACTGACACCTATTGGCCTGAATGCATTAGGTTTGTTTGCTAACTGCTGCCACTTCCCAAAGCTGTTTGTTTATTTAGTTTGGACATTTTTTATATTAATATGACCCTGAAACTTAATTTCTTTATGTATAAAGCATATGCCAAAATTAGACAATAATAACTGAATGCATCTTTAAAGTAGCCTAATAAAAAGCCATACTATCAATTAAAATTCTAATAATTCTAATAATGTGTAATCTGGTTATCTTCCCAAAAACAACAACAACAACAACAACAAATACAAGCAATACAAAAATGTTAGATCAAACATCAAACTCACAAAAATAAATAATTGGATTTTTGCATTAATTTTTCATGTTGCAGTGTATGTTACATATATAATGTATATTTAAATAAAATAAATTACAATTAAAGTGAATTAAAGATACATTCAGCTCTCTTATCACATGATGATTCTGTGGAACACAAAAGTAGATATTGTTTAGAATGACAGTTGAATGAAAAACAATATTAATATATTCAATATTGTATAGAAAAATTATGCAATAAAAATGGTGACTGAGGCTACCATTCTGCATATCTACTTTAGTGTTCAGCAGAAGAAAAAAAGTCATGAGATTGCAAGAACAGGTTAAGTAAATGATTACAGAAATCTATTTTGGGTATCCATTTACTATTATTTGTTTAGTTAATAACAGGTTGAAGACTTCTGTATTGTAATTAGACTAAAATAGTATTACGATGTTGTATTTCCAGCCAAACAAGATTCAAGAGCTTTATTGTCATGTACCAATGAAATTCTTATTTTTTTGCTCCTCATGAGAATGATCGGGTAGAGGGGGAACAAACATAACTTACTAGGACAATACAAATAACATAAAAATATAGAATATACAGTAAAAGATAAACTAGAAAGAATAATAAAAACAAATAGCAATAGCATAAAAAAGTAAGTAGTGAAAGAAAAAGGGCACCTGTATGCAAAACATTTTTTTTTTCCATAAAAAAAAATGGCATTGCCCTGTTGGTCAAAACTGTGAACTTCTACATGAAACTGACTAAATGAAAGCAACTTTAACTAATAACGATAATGTCATTTAATTAAGAGTTTGCGTGTGAATGAAAACTTGTATAATGCTTAAGTCAATAATACCTTCCCACAAAATAGTATACATATATTTATATAAATTCATTGTCAAATTTGCAGACACCATAATTCAGTTCAAGAAAAGAATTTATTGGAATTCACACATTTTGCAAAAACGGTTCTAAATGAAATTTTCCATTTATTAGAATAATAAATAACAGTTGATCTCTAGAAATATAAAACAGACTGACTGCAACTTTGTATGCACTGCAATATCACAACATGTGATATGATTTCACTGTTGCATTAACATTTAATTGCACTAAAAAATAAACAATATGAAAAATATATACATGTATACAAATACTAAATCAGTGTTACTTTCAAAGCAATTTCTTTGCAGGCTTCTGCTCTACATACATTTTATATGCATCTTACAAGCTGCATTAATCACTTTTTTGACTTGTACCTGCTCTATCATTATGAACATGAACCATATTGATTCAACGAGGCCTTCAAAAGGAGGTCTACTTTTAATACAATAACCAATACGGATTGCAAATATATATATATATATATATATATATATATATATATATATATAAAGGTGCATTCTTGATTCAGTCATACCCACCGAGTGATTCACTGCTGGCTACAGAATACCAATGTCACAAATGTCTATTTTTTTCTAGTCTTCACGAAGGTAGGCCTCTGGAATATCTTCCAGATCATGAATGTCAATGCTGGAGGCATACTCTGCCATTCTCTGGATTTCTTCTGCTTTCGTTTCGGCCAGTTTTTTCTCTGCTTCTTTTGAGATCTTTCGAAGCTCTTCCACTTTGCACTGTGCCACCTGCAGATTACTCTTTGTTGCGGTGCATGCATGCTCTGCTCCTGTAAAAATCAATCCACAGACCATACCAAAGTCACGTGTACAATAAATGCTTTCAAATTGCACAGTAGGTCAAACTTATAGGTTTAATAATTAAGGATAATTTATAAACATACCCGAATTGTAGGCTGCATCTGCTGACAACTCACAGATGTTGATGGCATTCATCCAGTTTGACTCGAAGCGCTTGCATTCTTCTAATCTATCACTAACCTGAAAAACGGGAAAAACACTGTGAAAGCTCTGATATCAAAGCTACTTTGATATCAACAAGGTCTGTTTATCAGTCTTAATCATGATCTATATTGTTGCAAAATGTAAACAACACTTAGATAAACTAAAGCAGGCCTAGAAATAAACATTTAAAGGAACAGAATTTACCTCCACTCGCTGCCCAATGATCACCTGCCAAATGCTGTCCTCTTCAGCAGGGCTCAGTTTTCCTATAGAGGTTATATATCGCTTCTGAAGGGCAATGAGTGTATGTAGCGCCTAAGAAAATTAAATACGGTAAAATTACTTTAATTACATTCTATATATTTTATTACAAATATAACACCTTTGTCAGCAATCAAGTGAACGACACATTGTGAAGCTAGTTTTACTGAGTGAACTATAGGTTTGAGATGCTGTGTTTACAAGTCTTACCTTGGCATACTGTGTGAGGGCATCCACAAGAGCCAGCGTGGTCTGAGAGAGGTACGTGTTGGCACTGTCTGTGACCAGACACGAGGCCCGACGAATCAGGGATTCGTGTGAGAGGTTTTCAACCTGCTGAAGAAAAAAGGGATACGTTTTATTACACTTAGCATATTTTTGACTCCCAAAATGACTCCTTTCCGTGAATAATTAAACATCCAGCTAGACCAGTGTAGTGCCATTCTCAAATGAATGACTCGAATGATTCGATTATTTTCAGTGAATCAACAACACTTATAAAAATGAGTCGGAGCGGATACTGAATTAACATAACTCTTAAAGCCCTAATCTCATCATGTACTAAAAGTTTTCTTGTAAAAAAGTGAACATGTATACATCTATGGGAACCTTCCCTGTATAAACTTTTGCAATAAATATTTCTTAAATATCGCACTTTAATGTGACTGACTGCATTGAGGCAGCATTCAATAAGGAAAACATTTCAGTCTGCAAAAAAATTAATTAAGAAAATCGTTATGCGACAGTAACTGACGAATCAGAATAATGTTGTCACGCTCTCTATACGAGCGTTTTACAAGTTTGTCATTTGTTCACTGTCTATATGCAACATTTAAACGGTTATGCATTAATGTTACCTGTGTAAAAGGAACAGCACAGAGGCTGCTGGCGAGACTGAAAGCGACTCTGCTGGATCGGGCGACCTCCGGCAGGCGCAGGAGACGCGGATGAACGGGACTCCTGCAGAAAACATTGGCCTTGTCCCTTTAATATAAGAAAATTAATTAGACTGAGCATAGAGCTTAATTGAAAATAACTTCCTAAAACCCATTTCTACCACACCTTTCAGCTTAAAATATGACCGCAATCTTACTTGAGGAGTTGAACGCATGCAGCACTCAGTCGTAGGGCAGCCATGTTTCTCCGAGCAACCAGGAAGTCGGTCCGGCCTTCAAGAAGACTCCCACTAGCACACAAACCGCACTTTCGAAAAGCCTGCATATTGCCTTGTCTTTTACTAATTAAACAAAATACGTGTAGGAATATCCCTTAAGCCTGTATTGGTCTTTAAGTAAAGCCCTTAAATGTTTTAAGCTGACAGCACTGCCCAGTATTTATATACTGCTAAAGGACTCTGCCCTCCATGCAGTGTATTGATCCGTTTATTTGGACCTTTAATCTTGATTTTAGCATTTAAGTTCAAGGAAAGATAGGGGTTGACGCACATTTGCACAAAGGTTGTAACAGCTGTGGTAAACATTAGTGAGCTCTTAGTGGTTGAGCTGCAGCACATGGTGACACACCTCCAGATATCACAAAACAGTGTGTATTGAGAACATAACAGGCACAGGAATTGATGAGCATGGCCTGCACGTCTTAAACAGGGTGGAAGAAAAACAAGTCCACAGGATAAGAAGATATGTATCTATCACAACAATGCAAGGAGGATAGCTGGGTGATTCTATAATTGGAGATACATTTGGCATTTCATAAAGTTAAGAAAAAAAAAAGTTCAGTAACAGAAATTCTTTCCAGTGTCTTATTGAAAGCATATTCAATTTTAATAATTCAGTGCTTGCCAAACACAAGTTACTTCCTTTTTTTTGACTTTTAATGAAAAAATCAGATGTCTTTATGGTATTGTTTGTCAACTCTGTTACGGACAAATTAGGCAGTGTGTAGAAATAACAATAAATCATAAAAGGAAAAATCCTTTTTCGTATCATTAGACAAACAGTCCTTATTTTCCAACATTTCAAATCTGAGATCATTTTTCACCTATGCATACCTTAAAAATAAAAAAAAAATACCTATGTCTTCACAGAATTGTCCACTTGGAGCAAATATTTTTCATCTGAAAATGTGTTATACACAATATCCAGTAAACAGATGTCTTTATGGTATTGTTTGTCAACTCTGTTACGGACAAATTAGGCAGTGTGTAGAAATAACAATAAATCATAAAAGGAAAAATCCTTTTTCGTATCATTAGACAAACAGTCCTTATATTCCAACATTTCAAATCTGAGATCATTTTTCACCTATGCATACCTTAAAAAAAAAAAAAAAAATACCTATGTCTTCACAGAATTGTCCACTTGGAGCAAATATTTTTCATCTGAAAATGTGTTATACACAATATCCAGTAAAAAAAAGAGAGAAATGTTGTAGAAATATTATAAGGGTGCATCATATCTCAATAATGTTTATGAGATTTTAAACAATAATTGTATAGTTTTTTTGTGAAAATAGTTCATAAACAGAGTTGACCCTTTAAGTGACAGAATTGTAAAGTAACAGAATTGACAGTTCACCGGTTACACTATTGTCAGCATTGTTACTCTACCTTGGTCACAGAGTTTGACGGTAACAGAATTGACAATTTTATTATATTTTTTTCCAAAAACTCCACTTGCTAGCATAAATGCTAAGATCACATGGCACTAATGAAATCATGATTAAAATACCTTTAAAATAATCCAATTTGTGATCAGTAATACATTTTGTTTTCCTTTTGATGTTTTGGTAACAGCATTGACGTTATTCAAAATAACTCTTGGTTTAAGACATTTTTATATTCAAATATTTTCTCAGAGAGAGCACACAGACTTTTCAGTGCTTCGGATCTTATCAGTAAGGGAAAGTGTCATCATTTCCTGTATCTTACATAGTTGTGGGAGATAATTTCACAAATTTAAAGGCAAAATATGGTACGGTAACAGAGTTGACGCAAGATTTATGAACACACATTTGTACGAGAAAAAAGTTATTTTTAAACAATTTCATGTTGTAGAATTAAGTAAATTAGTATTTAGAGCTTTTATAAATAAAATGAATGAAATATTACAAAAAGAAAAGTACAATAAAATATTTTGATTACACGATACATGATGGAAAAAAATGCACTGACTCATTCGGACAACAAGAAATCATGATTTTGAGCTATTTAAGACACTTTTTACACCAATTATTATATTGTTATTGACTGTAACATCTTGTAATTCATAACAATAAGTAACAAATTATTAAGATAATTAAAAATATAACCATTTGAAAAAAAGCAGAAAAAAATAATGAGTTCGGACACCGAATGTACCTGCAATTATAGAATCACCCAGCTACTGTATGTTTACTTTGGGTTTACTGATACCTGAAGACCCGAAGAAAGCTCTTGATAGACCAATTCAATCGATCTAAACCAATCATTTATCTTTCAGCTTTGAAGAGTCAAAGTGAAATGGTCTGAACAGTTTCTCAACTGTTCCCTATCATCATGTTGGGAGACAATAAATCAGGACTATTTGTAGCCTACTGTTCTTGTTGTCATGCCTCAACGGCTATATGGAAACTTTTGCAGCAAAGGAACCCTAAATTATAAAAAAAAAAAAAAATGTATGAAATAAAATAAAGCAAACACATACACTCCCATTAAAACGTTTAGATGAAAGAAGTCTCACCAAGGCTGCATTTATTTGATAAAAATGCAGTAAATACTGATTAGGTCCTCACGAAACATTTCTTATGATTATCAATGTTGAAAACAGTGCTGCTTAATATTTTTGTGGTAAAAGTGATATATTTTTTAAGGATTCTTTGATGAACAGAAAGTTTGAAGAGCATTTATTTGCAACAAAAACTTCTGTCAGTATTAATGTCCTTACTGTCACTTTTGATCCATTTAATATGTCCTTGCTGAATCAAAGTTTTATTTGTTTTATTATTAATTTTTATTTTCATTTACGCTTAGAGGAAAAAAAAACTGATGGATATGCAGGGAAATATTCTGTTCTTTAGTTTAAGTTATCTGTATTTAAGTTATCTGTAAATGTTTAATGGTGCAAAAAACCTATCCCACAAAACCATCTGCTTTCAAAACACCTTTTAAAGAGTATTCCTAAAAAGAAAATGTACGCAACAAAAAGAAGTCACATAAAAAGTAATGAAACCTTCCAAGCGAGTTCAGAAAGTATCTTAGGCAGTAGTATGAGAATGTACAGGTAGACAAGGAGTTTATAGAGCTCAGGGTCCAAATCACAAGAATACACAGAAATAACAATAAAGGCTGTTTGGAAGGCATGATTGCATTATGTCACAGTGGCATGCAAGGCCACATAACATTATAGACACGTAGCAAACATGTTGGCATTATCACAACTTTAATTTGCATGAGGTTGTAGCTAGTTTATTTTCAAAATACATGCTAATATTTTAAACTTTATCTTCATTACTAATTTAGGCTATTTGTTGATACATACAGCAATACATGTTTGAGACGCTGAAACCACTCTGATTCAGATACAGTGACTGTTTCTTTGTAATGTTATAATCTAACCTGAAGATTGCTATGAAACAGTGTGCAAACAATTTTGTGAGTAATATGTGTTTGTCCTTAAAGGGATATGAATAACAATAACTGTATTGATTTGATAGAGTTGCTAAACCACAATACTGTTTATGTACTTATTTAAATTATGGCATATGATCATATTTATTTTTAATATTTTAATAGGGTGTGACCAGTGATATTATTATTTTCCTAAAAGGGCCTAAAACAGAGAGTGTGCTGCATTAAGTGTAACCCTTGTTTAAACGCTAAAAGTCATATCTTTATAGAAGTTACACATGAAAACATTTGGAAGACAAAACAACTGAGAACTTAAAAATCCAAAATGTAAATTTGTTGTCTTGAATAATTGTTTATTATTAGTACATATTTAAATTGTTGTATATTAGATTGAAATGTCACTGATGTTCACCTGAATGCTGCAAAAGGCAATTTAAAATGCTTGCAATGTGTGTTAAGTGTTTTCCTTTATTGTATTTACACAGAAATAATTGACTTTCATTACATTGACATTATTTTAATCCAAGATTAATCATATAAATTGACTATTTAATTAATTGATTTATTTCCTTTGATAAATACAAGGGTTCAAAATTAAAAAATGCACTGGTTTGCCTGCATGCTGCATATTAACATGATAGGCATGCATGCAATGCATGAGATAATTCTTATGATCAAAGAAAGGTTATTGAAAAATCATGTGAGTGAATATAAAGAAAGTAATGTAAACAGTAGGGTAATAATGCTTAATCTGGTCAGTAGAGGACGCTATTAAACAATATACTGAATGAGAGGCATCTTGCAAAGACCTTATTGGCCAGACAAAAACCCTTGATGGTCTTTTTTTTTCTCTTTCTTTTAAATGGAATATTATGGAGTACTTGTAACCAATGCATTTGCTTTATCAAAACTGTTCTAAAGAATATGTGTTTTATTATACAAATAACTTGACATACATCTGTATATACATTTAGGCCTGTTAAAATCACACAAACACTCTTAAAACGTAAAAAAAAAAAAAAAAGTTTGACTGAATTATTCATGTTAAAAACTTTACTAAAAGATAATCATGACTGATTATTTGTGTCAGATGAGATGGTGTTGTTTTTGCTAATTCCCTAATTCCCTAAAAATTTCACATAATTGTGGGAGTGTCTTGAGTTTCTCTTAAGGTAGCCTTTGCATGTTTGAATGATACATGTTCTTATTACAGACGTATTACATATGAAAGACATTTGGAGTTTTATAGCAAATACTATAAAACCATTTAGCTTAAAATGATTAATTCACCTAGGCTATACTGTCACTTTTGATCAATTTAATGCACGCTTGCTAAATCAACCCCCAACTACTAACCCCCTACTAACTTAGTATTAATTACTAACCCCAACTTTTGATTAATTATTTACAAATAATTAATCAAATTACAAATTTCAAGAGCTTAGGGCAGCTGCAGTGACGTGATGACTTTATCATTTGCGATTGGCTCTTTTATTGAGAAGGCGGGAATATTCCGCCATGTTACCCTTTACAATTTTTCAAGGAGTTCTGTTGAGATATGATTTTAAAATTGACAAACTGCATGTGAAATTAGTTAAATGTCACAAACAAGCTTTATTGGCCTGGATGCTGGTGTTTAAGCACAATTTTCCCCCAAATGAATATATTATTTGGAATAATAGATGTATTCAGTATACAAAAATACATCTTGTATTTTCTTGTATCTAAAGTTGATATGGAAATGATATTGTGCTAGTTTGACAACTTTTAAATTTAAATGCTAATTTATAATCTTATAGTGAATTTTTGGACAAATTTGGTTTTCTAGTTACACCATGTGGCCAAGTATGGTTACCCATACTCAGAATTAGTGCTCTGCATTTAACCCACCCTAAGTGCACACACACAGCAGTGAACACACACCCGGAGCAGTGGGCAGCCATTTTATGCTGCAGCACCCAGGGAGCAGTTGGGGGTTCAGTGCCTTGCTCAAGGGCGCCTCAGCTATGGTATTGAAGGTGGAAGAGAGCACTGTACATTCACTCCCCCCACCTACAATCCCTGCCGGTACGAGACTCAAACTCACAACCTTCGGGGTTACAAGTCCAACTCTCAAACCATTAGGCCACGATTTCCCCAAGAGTATGCTGTTGTATTTGACGCCATACCCAAACAAGTTATACATTTTGAAAGAGCTTGTGCAAGTTATTCTTCTGAGGCAATGTATGTTACAGACAGAATGTTTCTAGAGACATTGATATTCTTAAACACAGTTGTACTAATAAGCATATTAGGAGTATTGTAGCAGGTGATACTGCTACTCATAAAAGCATAATCTGTACCAAATATTTTTAGAAATATAAATTGGGAAAAAAATCTTAGCATATTTGTGAATCATACTAAGCCTAATCAAGTAAAATAGGTTACATTTAAAATTTGACATGGTATATATCCAGCTAAAAGTGTTTTAGAGAGATTTAATTTAGATATTTATTATTCCTGTGATTTTTGTTCAATGGAAAAGGAGTCTATTGTCCATCTGTTTTATAATTGTGTATGCACAAAGATTGTTTGGGTGGATATGGAAAACTATATTAAAATGAAAACAAATATTATATTCAAGTTAAAGAATTTTGATGTATGTATTATTCCAATGAAAGTAATAATAATACGTTTACTTTTACTTATCAGGATCCAATCAAAATTGAATTCATTTTCTTCAGGAGACTAAGAACTACTGCACCAGTTTGGAAAACATTGTTAATAAAAAAGCAAAGAAAACTTGTAATATTTTTCCATGATTATACAGTTTTTGATTAATGAATCAGTGGTTTGTACACCCTGACATGTTTTTATTTACATTTTTATATAGGCCTACTGTTGTATATTTTGTTCTGGTCAAAAAAAGAAAGAAAAAAGTAATAGGAGTGCATTGTCTTTGGTATATCTTAAGTCTTTGATTATAGACAAATAGCAAACCTGTTGGCATTATCTTTAATATTAAAGATATTAAGGCAATTAACTTTAATTTGAATGATATTGCAGCTAATTTATTTTCAAATAATTGCTAGTTTAAACTTGATCTTCATTACTCATTTAGGCTATTTGTGTATGTATGCATATACAACAATGCACGTTTGAGACGCGAAACCACTCTGATTCAGATCAGAATCATTTCAGAATCATCATTTCTTTGTAATGTCATTATCTAACCTGAAGATTGCTATAACCATATCTATGAAACAGTGTACAAACCATTTTGTGAGTAATATGTTCTTAAAACAGATATAATCATATAAACTGTATTGATTTGCTAGTGTTGCTGAACCACAATGCTGTATGTACTGTATTTCAAATATGGGATATGATCATATTTATTTTTTATATTTCAATACACTTGTAGTAACCACTGATTTTATTGTTTTCCTAAGAGGCCTCAAACGGAGAGTGTGCTGAGTTAAGTGTGACCCTTGTTTGTATGGTAAATGTCTTAACATTATAGAGGTTTCACATGAAAACATTTGGAAGACCAAAATGACTGATGATTTAATAATCCAAAATTTAAATTAATTGAATAATATTTATTAGTGCATATTTACATTTTTGTATGTTCGATTGACATGTCAATGATGTTCACCTGAAGGCTGCAAAAGACAATTTAAAATGCTTGCTGTGTGCTAAGTGCTTTCCTAAATTTTAATTATGCAGAAATAATTGACTTTCATTAGATATATTGACATTATTTTAATTCAAGGTTAACCATATCAGTTTACTATTTGATTAATTAATTTTGATAATTGCAAGGGGTCAGAATTTTAAAAACCCACAGGTTTGCCAACATGTTGCATATTGCATCCATTTCACAACAGCCATGCTTGTAATGCATGTTATAATTGTAATGCATGTTATAAAAATCATGTGAGTGAATACAAAGCAAGTAATGTAAACAGAAGGGTAACAATGCTTAATATGGTCAGCAGAGGTCGCTATTAAACAATATACCGAATGTGTGAGGCAGCTTGCAAAGACCTTATTGGCCAGACAAATACACATTTGTCTGGATGGTTTTATTTTATTTGATTATTTTTAATATATTATAATATTATGGAGTACTGGAGATGCATTTGGATATGAATTTAGGCCTGTTAAAATCACATGGGCGCTCTTAAAACGTAAAAACAAAAAAAAATTATTAATGTTAAAGATTGTACTAAAAGACAATCATGATTGTTTAATTGTGTCAGATGAGATGGTGTTGTTTTTGCATCTGATATAATAAATCAAAGCTGTGTGGAATTTCTCATCTCTAAATCCATAGACAAGAGGACTTACTGCTCTAGAAGTGATACTAAATGTAAGAAAATTTACATATCGGACAATCAGGTATATATTAATATCATACTGCATAACTACAGCCTCAATGTAAGGACACATGACCTCAGCCGTACATAAAACCAGCTGAAGGATATGGAGGGAAATAGTACGCTGCCCTTTTGATGCCGACTTCTTATTGTCACCAGATGCTGCACGTGCAGCAAGGTATATCATTACATAACAAAAGACCTCAACTGTCAAAATAATCACAAGCCCCACAATATACAACAGTCCCCTAGCAAACTGATGCATCTTTTCAGGAATCATAATCTCATAGTGGCAGTATGTTAGTTGAGACAAATATTCACGAGAGGCAGTGCTAATAAGGATGAACATATCAACAAAGGGGTTTATGGAGCTCAGGATCCAAATCATTAAAATTACTATTAGGGCTCTTTTAGAGGTGGAGATTGCATGATGTCGCAGTGGCATACAAATGGCCACATAACGCTCCACACACATGGCTACAATCGTCAGTGGTGCACATGCTGTGACTGCCCCTATCAACATGCAGATGGGGATACAGAAACGTAGAGGTATTACAACAAAGCTATATGATAAGACCACCACAATATCTGTCAGACAAAGAAATATTAGGTCTACCAGGAGAGAATGACCAAACAAAATATAACGTGTTTCTGTTCTGAAAGTCTCTTTCTTGGAGAATATTAAGATCATGAGGAAGATGAGGTAGACGAAGGGCCACACGAAGACCTGAGTCAGCGCCACTGAAATGCTCCTCCGGACGGGGTCAGCTTGGATCAGTCGCATCTGCTCATAGCCACTGGCATTCTGACTGGCCATTGTGTGCACATCTGAGAGAAAATTAGACAACAAAAAACACACAAGACATAAATGAATAATCCTTGAGAAATAAACATTTATAAGACACATTATCAATAATCTTCAAATATTTATGTAGCCAAAAAAAGTATATCATATCTAATTTATAATTGTACATAATTGAAGATAATAAAATCAGTTACATCAGTCACAAAATATTACATAATCTTGCTGATAATAAGATTCTATTCTTGAGCCATAGACATATCAAGTGTAATAAATTATGATGTGCACTGTGAACAAACATTTATATAGAGTTTGACAGAGCAAAACTCCTGTGGATGACATCAGCTTAGTTGATGAAATCTAGAGCTAAATTTAGATTTGATTGTGTTTGGGGATAGACATGGAGCACTGAAGCACAATCATACATTTACATTTCATTTATTTGCAACATGCCATAAAAGTCCAACTCTAGATTAGTGCACAAACTAAAGTAGAAATGAAGAGAAAGAGCAAAAAATGCAGTTAAAGTCCCCATGAAATCAAAATGTACGTTTTTTGGGTGTTAGTATCAATATGTTAGTCTTAAGGTTATCTATAAGGCAGTGTGCTCCAAAAGAGTGACACAATTCGTATTTAGAAGATATAAGCATTCAAAGCTTGCAGTTCGTCACTTCCGCCAAAACGGCTCAACGATTTTTTTGACGTCACATCGTACTTCAGCTTCTCATCAAACTTTCTGTCCAATCAAATGCTCTCTAGAATCCGAAGCGCCCACCCCCTACACTATAAAATAGACGCTGAAGCCGTGGCTGAAATCGGTCACTTGTCCACAGAATTAGTATTTTCTGTACAGTGAATGGCAGGTAGTGCACTATATAGGGGACAAGGAGCAATTAAAACAGTGTAAATATGCTTTCCATTGAGGAAAAAAAAGAAGTCTGGTTTTGCACTGTGTCACGCTAACCACCGCACCGCACACACACACTCATGCGTGAGTCGGCGCAGACCACAAAATGTATCAGAGCTATTTGAATTCTACACATAATGCTATATTTTATAGCAATATGGATGAGATTGTGGCGGGCATACCCTGTCCAATGCAGCTTTACGGAGCTAAATGGCTCTAGCCCAAGCTGTGATATAAACGAACGCTATTGGCTATTTTAAAAAGGGTCCTGCCCTGTCTTCCTGTTTCAGTTAAAATGACATCAACACATAGAGTAACACTGCGTGTTTCTAAGCATTTCAGGGGACCTTTAAACCAGATTATAATCCTCAATGCATTCCATTTCTCTTCCATGTGACATTGAAGTTAAATTTAGCACATTTTGCAAAGGATTGTGTGGAATGGAGTCCATGACAGAGTGGCAATGGTATGGGATGGACTGCTATCTGGTGGCTATCAAGGGCACTCCAGCTGGTGATCGTGACATAGTCCCCTCCTAAGGAGTACCTTCCAGATGCTCCTCAACATGATCAAAGACGTCCAGGAGGGAGAAGGAGTGGAATTGGACCAAGGGGCGGGGTCCACGAATTGGAAAAACTGGAGACAAGGGCCAAGACCAAGGTGGGGCCGGCAGAGGGGGAAGCCAGGGCTGAAGACCACCAGGGCGGAGCAAGCGGAGCTGAAGATACCCACAGCTGATCAGATGGAACCAAAGATCCCCAAGGTGGAACGGATGACCACCACAGCAGAGCAGATGGGACCGAAGATCCCCACGGTGGAGCAGAAGACCACCAAGGTGGAGCTGATGGAGCTGACGACCACTTCAGTGGAGATGATGGCGCAGGGGATCACCAAGATGGCTCAGACTGAGCAGATGTCCACCACAGAGGAGAAGGTGGAGCAGTAAACCACCACGGTGGATCAGGCGGAAATAGAGAGCACAGAGAGGTTAACAATGGCCACTGTGGCTGTAACAGGGCAGGCCAAGAGTTCAGGGATGATCTCTGTTGTCATATCAAGGCAGACAAAGAGTACAGGGACAATCTCCGTGGTTGTGTCAAGGCAGGCAGAGAGTGCAAGGTTAACCTTCCTGGTTGTGTCTGGACAGGCCTCCTTGGCCGTGACAGGACAGGTAAAGAGCTCAGAGAAGGCCTCCTTGGCTGTGACAGGACAGGCAAGGGATTCAGGGTCGGCCTCCGTTGCCATGACAGTACAAGTAACAAGCCCAGAGATGGCCTCTCTGGCCATGACGAGACAGGCAAGGAGCTTGAGGATGGGAACCACAGGACGGGAAGATACTGAAAGCACTGGACTAGTGACCATTATAACTGGACATGCTGAGGACCATGGTGGGCCTAGCTCCATGGACACCAGTTTATTATGCCCTCCTCCCCCTATGTGTCCTCCTTTGGTTCTCCAACAGTAAAGATGGAACCACTTAATAAAAGTTCATAATCCAAATATTCAGTCAGTGACCCTCGAGAACCATCACAGATGAGTTTAGATTGATAATGTTCATTCAGTCCATAACAAAACAAATCGCATAGTCTGGGAGGTCAGAGGACTTTACAATGTCCAGAAAGTCCTGGATGTGGTCCTCGAGGGACAGCAAACTGATGTATCCTTTCCAAAATCATAATCTCATAGCGGTAGTGTGTCAGTTGAGTCAGGAGATTGCCTGATTTTGCAGCGG